TGGGGCTTTAATCCATAGCTTTCTGATTCAGAGATAAAATAGCTACAGACTGAGCTCTTCTGTTCTTAAACACTGGCTTTAGTGCTTAAACCCCTACACGGAGGTCCCCCCAATCATGGTTGTGAAGCACTTGGAGACGTTCAGCCACAGAGAACAACAACAACAAATGGCATTTACACAGCGCCTTTCACATCGGGAGGACATCCCAAGGTGATGGACATTCAAGAATTGGGATCCGAGCTGGGGGTTGGGATCAGGAGGGGTGGACGGCAGGGGAGGGTGGGGGTAGGAGGGTGACCGAAGGTATGGTCGAAGAGGAGAGTCTGCAGGCGGGGGCCTTGAAGGAGACGAGGGAGGGAGCGAGGCGAAGGGACTGTGGGACGGAGTTCCAAAGGGTGAGGGCAGAGAGGCTGAAGGCGGGTGACATGGAGCAGGCCGGAGCCTGCTGAGTGGCGGGAGCGGACGGGTAGCTATGTGGTTAGAAGGTCAAACATAGGAAGGAGCAAGGCTGTGGAGGGCCTTGAAAGTGAGGACGAGGAGTTTGAATTCTATCCCATCAATTAATGGGTGGAGAGAGTGAAGGCATTCGCTTCCTAACACAAGTTACTCACTTGATGAGACTGCACAGCACACAGCGGGTGGAATAGGTGTTCCCATCCGTGCCACACACTGGTATGTACTCCTTAGTGCAGATAGGAGCCAGAGGGAAATCCTCACAGTGAGGCTGCAAAACAGCAGATCACCAGATTTATTATACTAAACCTTTACCGTTGAGTGCACAGATCCAAATGCATTTTTATTCGCCAAACTGGAATCGCAGTCAACGTGAGCTATTTGTGGGCAAACAAGGCGGCAGCAACAAGAACAACAACTTTTTATATAGCATTTATATAGTGCCCTTCGAGCAGGATAGCGTCCTTGAGCACTTGACACTTGGTGGAGTCTGACACTGAGCCAGGGGGAGAGGGAGGGGGGACTGTAAGCATGATCAAAAAGTCTTTAGTTGGGGGGGGGGGGGAAGCAAGGTGGAGGGATTGAGGGAGAGAGTTCTAAAGTTTCAGGGCAGAGTGGCTGAAGGCACGTCCACCGATGATGGAGCGGAGAAGACGAGGGACAAACAGGAGGCCGCAGCCAGCCAAGCGAAGGCAGCAGTGGCAGATGAACAGGAAGGGATTTGAAAACGAGTGAGAGGATCTTGAAATCGATCTGTTTGGTAATTGCACACAGCAGAACGCCTTAACACACAGGCTTAATGTGAAAGACTAATTTATCTGGGGGATTAATGGTCAGGACACCCAGAGAAAATCCCTTCTCTTTTTCATTATTGTCTCAGGATCTTTAATGTCCACCTGAACAAGCTGCGGTTTAATGTCTTATCTAAAGGACAGCACCTCTGAAATTGCTCTCCCTACAATGCACCAGTATATAGTGCACTTGACGCGACACGTCAAGAATCTTGGAAGCGAACTAGATGGACCTTGGTCTTCTAATACGAGCAAATTCTTATATGCTTATGAGCTGAGGTGAACAACGTATTCAGCGAGTAATTAATAACAATCAAACATCATTCAAATAAAGTAAAGGAAGCTCACATTCTGTAGGGGTAAGGAAGCAGTGGCCATATCTGAAACATACAAAAAAACATACACATGGTCAGCGAGAACACAACACGTTCACAACACATTTATAGAGCAACAATACATTTACACAGCGCTTTTCACGTCGGGGGGACATTGGAAGGCGCTGGACAGTCAGAGATTTAGACCCAGAGGGTTGGGATCAGGAGGGATGGAGGGCAGGGAGGGTGGGCAAATGTGCGGTCGAAGAGGAGAGTCGTGAGACGTGCCTTGAAGGAGGCAAGTGAACGAGCGAGGCGAAGTGACTGTGGGATGGAGTTCCAAAGGGTGTGTGGTCAGGGAGGCTGAAGGCTCACCTATTTATTACTAGGTAAACAGATGCGCGTGTGTGTGTGGAGTAAGGAAATTTGCCCAAGAATTCACCCTACAGAAAATAACGGGCACAAGAGGAACCTTACTGACCGGCAAATGCAAAGGCTAGGAGAGCGGTGAGAAACACTCCGATTACTCTCATCGTGCAGTCTTGGATGTGATTTCCACAGTTTGGAGACGGGAGTGTTTATGCTTCGCACATCCTAGTTATCCTGTTTTGGAGCAGAAATGACATTAAACTCTAGGAGAAGGTCATATGCGAAAGTTAATTTTAATAGCCTCGTGGGTGAAGGTCCCACTTTAAGGAGATTTCCAATTGCGGTCTACAGTGAGTCTCGCTTAGCTCCTAAGTCAACCATCATACCACAAATTGGCTTATAATTATCCATGAATTGAATTTGATACGATGAGCATAACATCTCAAAGCACACAGCAATGCCTCACAGATATGAAGTTAATGACTATTTTTTTCTGGGCGATCGGGCACCAGAAGAAAAGTGGACTCGGTCGACCACCTCTTTTCCACTTCAATCAACATCTACCTAAACGGGCACGCAGAACTGCGTTACAGCCTGCGTCAAACATGTCCAGCGTGTGTCAAATCTCCAGGGAGATTGTTCCAGAGTGTCCTCATCAGCTCACGTGCAATGCTTTTCTGTCGATAATCAGGCCCGGAACCCCAAATGTTTTGATGTTACAACGGAAAGGGTACCTCGCAAGCGGAGTCCGGGAGATGAGCTCACCACTCGGGATTTGCTCCGCCGTGGGCGGCTCTCATTTAAGACGGTCCGGGTCCAGGAGGAATGTTTGCCAACAGCTCTGTCGTCGTGGCAGCAGGCGGTCACCAGAATCAAGCGGCTGATTGACGTCTGGCGTGTCAGAATTGAGGACAATGTGACGAGGTAACAATTAAAGGGCTTTGCGGCACCTAACCACACTTGCAGGTTCAACAGAAGCATCCAATCTCAAGCAGTGCCTCTGCGCTTTGTGTTACAAGCCAGTCCACAGCTCTGGTACCAACAGGGGAAGTTACACACGCACACCCGTACCCCCTCCCTTCGGCTGTCACTCGTCCAGTCTCGAGAGCAGATGAGAGTGGCACTTAATAGTAGATGGCGATATTCCTCTGAGAGCATCTGCCACGCAAGGGCGTTAGCTCACACAATACAATAAAGTGTACTTTTTCAGTGCTTTGTCCCTTTACAAGTGTGGTGGCTGAGTGTTTTTTGGTCGCAGATTTACAACAACAACAACACTACATTTAGATAGAGAGAGAAACCTGAGCAGTTGGGGCTTTCCATAACACGGTCAGAAGGTTAAGAGGCAATCAGATAGAGGTGTTCAGGATCATTTAGTGATACGATAGGATAAATAATAATACATTATTTTTGTGGGAAGGTGACAAACTCTTAAAACTCAATCCAACTTCCAAATTAAGACTGTATTTCATTGAGAAACTCAGTAGACAGTTTGAAGGAAGGCAACACTAACAATGCAATGACTCCACTCAACGTAGACTTCTACTCATAAAAAATAAAATAATTCTTGTATTTGAAAACGCCTCCACACGTTTTCAAGATGTCTCAAAGCGCTTCACAGAATATACTGTAAAGTGTAGCGACTATATTTTGTGGCACCAATTGCAAACAGCACCATCCCACAAACAGTCGTGAATTGAGTGACCAAATCATGTCCGAACATGGGAATTGAAGTCACAACCTTTTGTCCCTGAAGGGAGAGTCCGACTGACTGACTGAGCCAGACTGTCCTAAATGCCACTCATGTTGTGTTTACAAGTGTCAGTACGAAGCACATTATCCACCCACCCAGCTGCCCACTGAACGAGTAATATGGGGTGTCAGGCTGACCTAGGTCCTAGGGATTTGATTTTATCTTTTGACGGAGTGATTGTCCCAGTAACAAACAGGTGGAGAGGTCCAGATGGTGACAGGAAACAATGGTGTTGAAGCTCCCCTGCACTCCCGTGCCACGTAGCTTTGGCTCCCGTTAACCCCATCTGCCACCTCAACAGCACAGATCTTCTGCGTTCACGAGAACACAAATATCGTTATGTACTCTGAGCCAACTCCTTGGCATAATAATAATCTTGGCATTTGATATAGCACTTTATCACGTCAGGTGTCTGACTCGCATATATATAATAATAATAATCCTTGCATTTGATATAGCGCTTTTCACGTCGGGAGAACGTCCCAAAGCGCTTCACAGAACACACTGTAAAGTGAATTGAATGTATATTTGTGGGCGAACGCGTCAGCCAATTGCGCACAGCAATGTCCCACAGACAGTCGTAGATTGAAAATGACCAATTTATTATTGTTTTTGGTTTTGGAGGGATTATTATTAGGCTCTGTGTGGAGTAAGGAAACTTGCCCAAGGTTTCGCCCTCTGCCTGGAATTGAACTCAGGTCTCTCACTTGCAAAGCGAGTGCTTTAACAAAGCACTGAGCTACAGGACTCCACAAGACACGCACATTTTATCTGTATATAAATCCCACATTAAGAACTGGGTTCGATTTCCAAACAGGGTGAAATGTTGGGCAAGTTTCCTTATTCTACAAGCCTCTTGTTTACCTAGCAGTAAGTAGGAACCCGGTTGTTACTCGATTGGCGGATCGCTTTTCCGGGGGTAATCCTTCCAAAAAAATTTTAAAATCAGTCACTCAACCCACGACAGTTTGTGGGACGCTTCTGTGCATTTCGCCCGCAAAATATAGTCAATTCACTTACAGTATATTCTGTGAAGCGCTTTGAGACGTCTCGAAGTCATTGAAGGGATCATTACCTTTATTAAATTATTAAATGTATTAAAGCCAACACTTCCAGAGGCCAGGACACCCCACGTGACCCATCCCCTTCTCTTTCACCGCCACCACCACCACCAAACCCCAGATTGGGCGCCCAGCCAGAAACGTCCAGCACTTTCAGGCTTCCTCTTGTGTGAGAGCCTTCACATTAGCGTCAATTACATTGTAATGAGTTTTTGGCTATGACTTGTGACGCAGGTTGGCGCAGACGCTAAATCAATCAACCAGATAAAACTCTTGAGCTCTCAAGTCAGCCCAACCTGGTATTTTATTTGCAGTGGGCAGCTGAGCTAACACGTATCGTGTCCTGACCCCCTTACACTACAAACCAGACGCTTTGGCGCACACATTTTGAACTCCGGGCCTCTTGAGGACAAAGTGATGCGTTCAAAATAACCCTTTCATTTGATATAGCGCCTTTGACGTTGGGAGGACGTCTCAAAGCGCTTTGTTACATGATTTACCGTGAATATTGGGATTGTGTAGGCGAATGCGACAGCCGGTATTTCAGGTGGAGAGTTTCTGTCTCCCAGTTGGGCTCTAACCCAACAAAATATCCCCCAGGTAAGACCAGTCGTTCCCTTCTCTGTCCGTGGGACATTGCCGGCGCGCGAATTGGCCGCAACATTCGCCCGCACGTAACACAGTGAGTTCCTGCGAAGCGCTTTGAGGTGACGTGACCGAGTGAAAAGGCGCGACGTCGAACGCAAGGATTATTATTGCAATCGGCTGGAAATTAAGCCGTACCGCCATCCGCTGGTAAAGAGTCTTCACTGCTGGGAGCCTGTGAGCGAGGGTGACATCCACCTGACCCTGGGTTGGATGGATTTCTCTGTTGGCTTTTTCCGCAGCGACTGTACAACACGTGGCAGCTGGATGTGAGAGAGAGAGAGAGAGAGATATAATTCTAACAACAACAACAATAATAATCCTCGTGTGTATTTGATGCTGCGGCCTTACCAGCCGGTGGAGAAGTCTCAAAATCGCTTCGCGGAATATACTGCGGAGTGGAGTGACTGTGTGTGTGTGCGCGCGTGTGTGTTGTGTTTTGCGGGCAAAACGCGGCAGCCAATTGCGCCCACCCACGGTTTCCCCCCCCCCCACACACACAAACAGTCGCTGGGTTGAAGTGACCAAATTATTATGTTTTTTTTGCAAGGGATTATTATTACCCCCCACCCCGCCCCCCCCCCCCCCCCGAAAAGCGACTAACAAGCAAGCGGGTTCCTACTGACCGTTCGATAAACTGAAGACCTTTCTTTTCGACCGCGCCTTTGGTCACTGTGTGCCCCCCCCGCCCCTCCCCCTGGCTCGGTCCCGGGATCCGAAACTGTAAAGCGCTCCTGAGATGCCGTCCGGCGTGGAGGGCGCTATATAAATCCAAGTTGTTGTTGTTGTAAACGGAGGTGTGTGCGTGCGTGCGTGTGTATCTGCGCGTGGAGTAAGGAAACCTGCCCAACGTTTCACCCGGGAACCGAACCCAGGTCCAACTCCAACGCTCTTAAACCGCTGAGCTCCACGGTGTATCCCGTGGAGCGCGATAAGGCGCTGTATTAAACGCAAGGATTATTATTATTGTTGTTGTTGTTGTTATTATTGTGATGATTAAATTGTGGCTCCAGTCAAGTCAGTTATTCAGGTCCATGTTGGCAGCTGAGAGAGGAGGGAGGGCGTGGCTAGAAGTATCCACTCCCCGGAAGTGACTTCAGATGAAAGCGCTCTATACCGGCAGCGGAGAGATCGGAAGTGGCTCGCTCGCGGGCGGTTGTGGGTGGGTGACGGATGGCGGCTTCGGACGTGACGTCGTGTGAAAGTGCTCTATACCGGCAGCGAAGGGACCGGATGTGGCTTGCGAGGGTGGGTGGGTGACGGATGGCGGCCACTCCGGACGTGACGTCAAGTGAAAGTGCTCTATACCGGCAGCGGAGGGACCGGAAATGGCTCGCTCGCGGGTGGGTGGGGGGGTTGTTGGGCGATGACGGTTGGCGGCGGCGGCGGCTCGTGAGGTGGCGGTTGGCGGCGGTGACGGGCGGCCGCCATGAGGCTGACGCGGCTGAAGCTGAAGAACGTCTTCGTGGTGTATTTCGTGGTGTCGGCGGCGGCGCTGATGTACGCGCTGCTCCAACTCGGTCAGTGCCTCGGGGGGGGGGATGGGGAAGGGGGAGGGGGGTGATGGGGGAGGGGGATGGGGGGGAGGCGGGGTGATGGGGAGGAGGGGGGTGATGTGGAGGGGGAGGAGCGAGTAGGGGGGGGAGGGGGGGTTGATGGGGAGGAGGGGTTGATGGGGAGGAGGGGGGTTGACGGGGAGGGGGGGGTGATGGGGAGGAGGGGGGTGATGTGGAGGGGGAGGAGCGAGTAGGGGGGGGAGGGGGGGTGATGGGGAGGAGGGGGGTTGATGGGGAGGGGGGGGGTGATGGGGAGGAGGGGGGTTGATGGAGAGGAGGGGGTGATGGGGAGGGGGGTTGATGGGGAGGAGGGGGGTTGATGGGGAGGGGGGGGTGATGGGGAGGAAGGGGAAGGGGGGGTGATGGGGAGAGGGAATGAGCCTAATGTGGGGGGTGGTTGGGGGTGTGTTGGCTTTGAGCTCAAGGTTGAGGCTGAGGGTGAGGGTGGGGGGCGGGTGCTGTGCTGTCAGAGACGCCGTCCTTTAGGTGAGACGTTAAAGGAAGCCTTTCCCATCACTTTCCGAGAGAGTGGGCAATCCGCAACTCGATCCCGCGCCCCCCCCACCACCACCCGCTCCCCCACCACCACCACCACCCGCGCCCCCGCACCACCACCACCACCCGCTCCCCCCCCACCAGCACCCGCGCCCCCCCCACCACCACCACCCGCTCCCCCCCACCACCACCACCACCCGCGCCCCCCCACCCCACCACCACCCGCTCCCCCCCCACCAGCACCCGCTCCCCCCCCACCACCACCACCCGCGCCCCCGCACCACCACCACCACCCGCTCCCCCCCCACCAGCACCCGCGCCCCCCCACCACCACCCGCTCCCCCCTCTCTCCCCATATCCCCTGATGCCCACCTCTGTCAAGGATCTGCGCTCAGTGGTCAGAGCACTCGCCTCACATGAGAGAGGAACCGGGTTCGCTTCCCGGGCGGGTCCAGGTCAGGGCGATACGCTGGTCCAAGTATCCTTACTCCACACGCACAGAGACACAGACAGACGCACACAGACAGACAGACACACACAGACAGACAGACAGACAGACACACACAGACACAAACAGACACACGCACTCGTAGGAACCCTGGTCGATTGGCGGATCGCTTTTCTGGAGGGGGGTGGGGGGTTAATAAGCCCTTAAAAAAAATACTCAGTCACCGCACTTTACAGCGTATCCCGCGAAGCGCTTTGAGACGTCTCGAAGACGCGGTGAGGCGCCGGGTCAAACGCCGGGTTTGTTATCATTAAACCTCCCTCTCTCTCTCTCTCTCTCTCTCTCTCTCTCTCTGGGGACCGGGCCACAGGTCAGCAGTGCGATTGCACGCCCCAGATGAGGTCGTCGAACGAGCTGGTGCGGCAGAAGGACCAGAGGGTGCTGCACCTGCAGAACGAGGTGAAGAAGCTGCAGAAGCAAGTGCGAGCGGAGGAGGAGGCCGAGAGGCGCCAGCTCCCCACCATCTACGCGGTGACCCCCACCTACTCCAGGTGCAGTGTAGCGCAGTAACAGCGCCAGCACTACGGAAGATAATAATAATAAATCGGTCATTCAATCCACGGCGAAAATATACAGTGGCTGAGGCGCCGGATCAAATAATAATAATAATCTGTGCACTTAATGTAGCGCCTTAGTGCGTCATTGAGACGTCTCAAAGCGCTTCACAGAACGTACCGTGTGTTTGCGGGCAAGGATTACTTTTAGGAAGGAAAAGAGAAGTGTCTACGAAGGTTTTGAGGCGACGCATAAGGGGGAGAGAGAGAGAGAGACATTGCGATGCGATGAGGTGCTGTAAACAATCCATGACCGTTTGCGGGACGCTGCTGTGCGCAATTGGCTGCCGCCTTTCGCCCGCAAAATACACAAGTCACTACGCTTTGCGGTGTATCCTTGAAGCGCTTTGAGACGTCTCGAATAGGTGATAAGGCGCTGTATCGGATGCAAGGATTATTATTCTAAGAACTGCTTGTGTGTCTCCCGCTGTGTAGGTTGGTGCAGAAGGCTGAGTTGGTGCGCCTGTCACAGACCTTCCTCCACGTGAGGAAGTTTCACTGGATCGTGGTGGAGGACGCCGCCAACCGCTCCAAACTGGTGGCCGAGATCCTGGCCCAGAGCGGCCTGGTGTACACCCACCTCAGCGTGCCGACCCCGACCATCCACAAGCTGAAGGAGAGCGACCCCAACTGGCTGAAGCCCCGTGGGGTGGAACAGCGCAACCTGGCCATCCAGTGGCTCCGGGAAAACCGCGAGCTCAGCGAGGAGGGCGTGGTGTACTTTGCCGACGATGACAACACCTACAGCACGAAGCTCTTCGACGAGGTACAGAGAGAGAGAGACTCGGCTTGGTATATCATAGAATTCACGTGGAACCTCACAGCACAGGAGGAGGCCATTCGGCCCATCGTGCCTGTGCCTGCTCTTTGAAAGAGCTACCAACTAGTCCCACTCCCCCGCTCTTACCCCAACTAGTCCCACTCCCCCGCTCCTACCCCAACTAGAGCCCACTCTCCCGCTCTTACCCCAACTAGAGCCCACTCTCCCGCTCTTACCCCAACTAGTCCCCACTCCCCCGCTCTTACCCCAACTAGTCCCACTCCCCCGCTCTTACCCCAACTAGAGCCACGCTCCTCTTACCAATAGCCCCACTGCCCCGCTCTTTCCCCAACTGGTCCCCACTCCCCCGCTCTTACCCCAAATCCCTGCACATTTATTCCTTTTCAAGTACCCTTCCAATTCCCTTTTGAAAGTTATTATTGAATCTGTTTCCGCCACCCTTTCAAGCAGCGCATTCCAGACTGTTAACAGCTCTCTAGATAAGAGAATTTCTCCTCATCGCCCCTCTGGTTCCTTTGCTAATTTATATAATATAAGATTGCAACATCTCATTGAGGCACTTATAAAATAATGCTTGCATTCAATTCAGCGCCTTTCCTACCAGAAGGACGTCTGAAAGCACTTCACGGGGTTTTACTGTGAAGTGTTGTAACAAAAATGAGCCTTTTGCGCACAGAGGTTCGAATGCACAACCTTACTCTTTCCCTCCGCCTCGCCACCCCCCTTCCCTCGCCTCCTTCGAGGCCCGTCTTAACACCCTCCTCTTTGTCCAAATCCCTGACTGTCCAGTGCCCTGGGACATCCTCCCGACCTGAAAGGCAGACGCTGAGTAATGCGTTGTGTTGTTATTCTGAACCAGAGGCGAGAGTGTTACCAACTCAACCAGGCTACTAAACCCACTGTCTGATCCATTTCTCACCGCTACAGATGCGCTGGACGAAGCGCGTCTCGGTTTGGCCGGTGGGCCTGGTGGGCGGCCTGCGCTTCGAGAGGCCGCTGGTAGAGGGCGGGAAGGTGGTGGGTTTCCACACGGCCTGGAAGCCCACCCGGCCCTTCCCCATGGACATGGCGGGCTTCTCCGTTGCCCTGCAGCTGCTGCTGGCCAACCGGGAAGCCAAGTTCGATATCAACGCCGAACGGGGCTACCTGGAGAGCAGCCTCCTGCAGTCCGTGGTCTCCATCGAGGAACTCGAGCCCAAGGCCAACAACTGTGACAAGGTGAGAGGCGAGACTGCTGGCTATAATGCTAACCCTGCAGTGCGTTTGAGAAAGGATCTGCCTTACACTGGGTGGGGCTGAAACTCCTGCTGCTGCTATTATAATAATATAACAACGACGGTAATCCTTGCATTTGATACAGCGCCTTATCACGTCTTTGAGACGCCTCAAAGCGCCTCACGGGATACGCTGCAAAGCGGATTAGTTTATTATCGTGGAGTCCCTGTAGCCTAGTGGTTAGAGCACTCGCCTCGCAAGGACCTGGGTTTAATTCCCAGGCAGGGCATTTCCATACACCACACACACACACGCGCACGTCTCTGTTTACCGAGCAGTAAGTAGGAACCCGCTTGTTAGCCCTCTGGCCGATCGCTTTCCAGGGGGTAATAATCCCTTCCAAAAATTCCCCGACTGTTTGTGGGACGTCGCTGGGCGCAGTAGTCTGCCGCGTTTCGTCCGCAAAATATACCAGCAATTTCCTTTACAGTGTATCCTGTGAAGCACTTTGAGACGTCTCGAAGACCGATAAGGCGCTGTATCAAACGCAAGGATTATTATTGTTGTGTCATCTCCAGGTGGCCATGGAATAACCCACGTTTCTCTGTGTGTGTTTGGGGAGTCCTCACTGTGTTGCTGTCTGCCCGCAGGTCCTGGTGTGGCACACCCGTACTGAGAAACCCAAGATGAAACAAGAGGACGCGCTGTTGAAACAGGGCAAAGGGTCTGAAGTCCACATCGAGGTGTAAAGTAGGCAGACGTGTGGAGGAGGAGGAGAGGCTCGACTGCGAGACCCTGGGATGCTGAGAGCACGGTGTACACAGTGACCTACCTCCGTGTACTCGAGAGGAACTTGAGAATCCGACTTTAAGCTGTGCGTCCGAGTCCAAAGAGAGCGAGAGAAAGAGAGAGAGAGCGAGGGTTTAACGTAGAGAGCTAGCTGTTACGCTGAGATGCAGGACTCAAAGGCAAGGATTCCTCTGACCCTTTTAACCCCAGTTTTAATCTTCGCTTCGAAGAAACCATGTCGTCTCTGTCCCTTCTCTTTGTTCTAATTGTTCTAACCGAGACCTGCTGCTGTGTGATTGTGGTGATGGTGGTAAGGTCCGCGGGGTTAGGAGGGCGCTTGTGGGAACTGGGAGTAAGTCCAGGCCAGGCTGGTAGGATCCAAATCTTCTCTGACTGCTAACGCGCAGTGTCAAATGTGCATACACCACGTGCAAGTGTTAATATATCCTGTGAAAAGATTATTATCTTTTAACATCCATTTGATCAAGCAAATGGGACTTTGGGTTCAAAGTGTCGTCCAAAGGAGACTTTGGTTTGAAGCGACACACGTTGTCAGTTGCGCTGTCCCCTCTTTCTTCCCCCACACCCCCACCACCACACAACAATCCTCGCACACACAAACACACACACACACACACCACACGCACGCTCACTCACGCAACGCACACACACTCTCATTGCTGCTCTGGAGTGTCAAAGCTTGTTGGACGGTCGACTCAGCTCCTGGCGCGAGGTTGTGAGCCCGTTACCCCGATCCAGAAGCAAGAGTCAAAATGGAAAAAAGAGAGCGAGAGAGAGGGGGGCAAGTTACAATGGGTAGATTTTATCAGCTGCTATTTTAAACTCGTGCCGTTTAATGTTCTGCAAGATTCAGGTCTGCAGTTGCCTGTCTTACTGGAAATGGGAGTGCAGATTGATTCCTCTGTTTGCCCACCTTAATATGTCCTCTCCCTCCCTCCCTCCCTCCCTCCCACCCTCCAATACACTGTAAAGTGAATTGATGGCATGTTTTGTGGGCGAAACGCGGCAGACAGTTGCGCTTGACTGTGGCAGAGTTGGCAGACTCTGCCACCGTCAACCACTCCGGGATAGCCACCGGGAGTGAAGGGCGCTGTGTAAACGCAAGACGTCGTTGCTCGCTGGGTGCCGGGGTTTGAGATGAGGGTGAACTCAAGCCACGCTGGCAGGAAACGGCAGCTCTCCCGCTAGCGGGTGCTTACTGGTAGCTCGCCAAGCCGGGCACTTGAGCAGAACACCTCGCGCCGGGGTTCAGCTCGACCTCGTTACACCTGCCCGCCCTGCGAGCAGTCTGCGGCTGATAATTTAGCGAGGAAAGTCCACGCGAGTCATTGCATCCACTGAGAGATGGATTCAGGTTGGGGCTCGGTCATTGACGGGACCTGGGACTGGCTACCCTTCTCCTAACAGCCTCCCGGTTCAAGAGCAGTGTCGAGTGGTAGTGTAACCAGCCTACTCTCCCACAGACCCAAGGGGAGTGACGCCGGCATCAGCTTTGTTTTGATGTGAAACTCTACTGTGTAATTATGCTTTCATTTGCCTAAGTATAACCGAAATAGATTGTCACCCACCTCGCACCGGGCGGTAGCACTCCAGGACGCTATACCGCGCGCGTGAAGGGGTGGGGGCGGTGTAAGTGCCGGTCGTTCTGGTGACTCCAGAGGCTGATGTATTTTGGCTCACTATTGGCTTCGGGTCTGCGTGGAATCCCGGCTGAACCATCAAAATGGACAGCGCAGCAGGAGGCCCCTGGAGAAGGATTGCTCTCACGTTCGCAGTCACAAGGTTGTCTTGCGATTGTGTATTTGCACCCAAGCTGTAGAGCAGAAGTCCTCTTCACCCACCGCCATTGCTTTCCTAGTGGCCTACTCTTTACTCTTCTCCAACCCACGTTCATTGCCCCAACTTCCTTCGCATCTCTCCGGGAGATTGTGGGCGAGAAAGGAGGTGCATTTCGCACAAAACGCAAGTCACTACACTTTGCGGTATGTTCCGTGAAGCGCTTTGAGACGTCGCGAAGGCACGATAAGGCGCTGTATCGAATGCCAGGATTAGTATTAGATCAGACAAGTGTATGCGTGTGTTGGGCAGACTGTGAGAGAAAGGGGCTTAATTGTTGAACATACTCGCAGGCTTCTGATCGTTCGAGTGCCTGTGTGCGTGCGCGCATGTCTTCGAAGCAAACACTACACGCGTGTGTTTTATCGGTACAGCATGTGACTTGTTGTTCGGGCTCGCTATTTATTTCCTCCGTGGTCATCCACATCCTGTTTATGTTCAGTGGACCTATTTTTTATGTGTACGTATAAATAAATATATATATATATATATACACACACATACATACACTGACATTAACAAGGAGGAAGGGAGGTGGGATATGTGTGTGTGTTATATGTAGACCCCACCCCCCCCCCCCCCCCACCCTGTTGTAAACTTGACAAAGGCCCCTCTGTTGGTATGAAAGTTAACTTATTGCTCTGCTGAATTTAACCCCCTCAAACACACTCCCATTTGGGGAAACATTTACTGTGTTCGGTGTGTCTAACTTGACGGTTCTGTAAGCTTCGACTGTTAAATGCTGCTTTTTCTTGGCGTGATGTGACACGAGACCTTTGCGAGAGCGGTGCTTGATCCGTCCCGGGACACGCGGCCTCTCGGCAGCAAATTGTACCTCGCGCGTGCTTTGTGGTCGCTCTTAACTGTACAACACTGGTGTATTCTGTATAAATTCAGGCCCTTAATCGCGACATGGCGCTGGGCTATTGTGATTTCTTCCCCGAGTCTCGACTCCGATCCCTTTATCTGCGATCCTTTGAAGTCACAGACTAGGCTGACGCTCCGGTGTATGATCTCAGCTCCTCATTTGGGGCAGTGACCCACAGCCTTCTGCCCCCCCACACACCCCCCCCCCCCAAAGCCAAAGTGCCACTTGACTGTGACAAACTGAAACAATCTGAATTTTTTTTCTCTCTCTCTCTCTTGAGAAGTGGGGCTAATTTATCTCCAAAATCCGAAAAATCATTGCTATTTTCACCCCCACCTCTCCTCGTTACGTAATAATAATCCTTGCATTTGATACAGCGCCTAATCAGGTCGTCGAGACGTCTCGAAGCGCTTCACAGGAGACACCGTAAAGTGAATTGACTGTATATTTGGGGGCCAAATGCGCACAGCAGCGTCCATCCCGCAGAAAGTCGTGGTTTTAGTGACCAATTTATTATTTGGATTATTACCCCTGGAAAAGCGATCGACTAACAAGCGACTAACTGGCGAGGTAAACAAAGGCACGTGCGGAGTGAGGAAACTTGCCTAAGGTTTCGCCCCGACCTGACCCGCTCGGGAATCGAACCCGGGTCCTCTCATTTGCGAACTGGGCCACTGAGCTACGGGACCTGCAGTGTCATTTCCTGCGTACGTGTCCCGAACGCGGATGGGTTTGTAAACCCAACGGCAGGTTCCAAAGCCGTAAGCGACATGTGTCCGGGTTTTCTGAGTGCCACTTAGTGCTGCTAAAACATCTTGAAACTGTCTGTGATTTCTCCTTGATAAAAGGACTTAGCTTCTGTATTTCCCCCCCCCCCCACCCCACCCCATCTCTACAGACAAGGTGGCTGCCTGTCACATTACATCAGCCTATAATATAATAATCTTCGCATTTAATGGAGCATTTTGTGTCTCAAAGTGCTGGCTAGATAATGGCTGTGAAGTATGTACTGGCAGCTGTATCCCAGCATGATGGCCATTTTCTGCACAGCACGGAAAACTGTCTGCCAGAACTGTGACCAGGAGAAACTCCCTGCTCTTTTCCCCCCCCCATCTATGGAGTCCTGCAGCTCAGTGGTTTGAGCGCTCGCCTGGGCAAGCGAGAGGACCTGGGTTCGATCCCGGCCGGGCAGGGCGAAACGTCGGGCAAGTTTCCTTACTCCACCCGCGCACACGCTTCTGTTTACCAGCAGTAACTAGGAACCCGGATGTTCGTCGATTGGCCTCTCGCTTTTCCGGGGGGTAATAATCCCTCCATAAAAACTGTTCGCTCAATCCAGGACTGTTTGTGGGACCTTTGCTGTGTGCAGTTGGCTGCCGTGTTTCGCCCACAAAATACACACGGCCAAACCACTTCACGGTATATCCTGCGAAGCGCTCTGAGGCGTCTCGAAGACGGGGTAAGGCGCCGTATCAAACGCGAGGATTATTATTATTCTGTGGGGCTTGAACCCACAGCTTTCTGTTTCCCAGTTTAAAAAAAAAGGCACAGGTTTTAGCACTCAATCCTGAAATCCATCCCAATGGGTCCCGTTTGGAAAGTTCAGGGCGTCCTGTCGAGAAGGCTGTGAAGCGGAACAAATCGATTTGCTTCCGAAACGCAATGATTTTTAGGGCAAATTATATTTTACTGTTTTATACAGAATATTTACAGAACGACAAAAAAAAAACACAAGTCAATAAACTTTAATCGAGTTTCAAAAGTCTGGTTTAAAGAGAGAAAAAAAATCGCACGCTGCTTTCCGTGCGTCAAATCGAAATGAGACGATCGCCTCGATGGGCTAAACACTGTGCAATTTATTGAATTCTATTCCTATGGCTTTTATTTTCCCTCAATGGGGTTCTCCCCAGGCAAAGAGAAATGTATAAGGCTCCTGTTCATTTGATAGTGGGTCAGTTTCACCCATCCCGCTCCTTCCTTCCCACTCGTCCCTTCCCACTCTGCGTTCTTGTTCGGGTCAAGAACTTAACCCAGTAGAAAGTCTCCAGTATATACTCCGTCCCTGCTACCTTGTGCGTTCTGTTTCAAGTGATGTGGGCTTTCTAAAGGGACTTGGGCAGCAACGGGTGGGAATATCAGAAAATCCTCATTTCTCTTGTGCCTCTCTCTCCCATCCTAGAAACTCCACAGACAGACAGACAGACAGACAGACATTCAGACAGAGCTTCTGACCTTCGTGGGGAAGCTGAAGGCAAAGGCGGAGGAAAGGCAACCGGATAGGAATGAGCGAGAGAGAGAAAGACTTCAGACTGAGGCAAGAGAGAGAGAGCGGGTGGGCGAGGGGCGGGGGTGGGTGGTGGGGGGGAGTGGAGGTTGGTACAAACACAAAAAAATTAAGAAATGCGCAGGATTCAGTGACGAATACAGATCCTTGGGACGTCTTTTCAGACGTGGAAGGCACTATGCAGATGTCGGTTTGTATTGTATTTTGTTGTTCGCTGATCTCCTTGCATTTGATACAGTGCCCTATAACACCGCCGAGATGTTCTTGAAGGCGCTTTGCGCCCGGCAACATCCCATTTGCGCGTTTCGCCCACAAAACACAGTCGCTGCATGTCACAGCATGACCTCTGAAGCCCTTTGAGACGTCTCGAATACGCGATCAGGCGCTGTGTCGAATGCAAGGATTATGATCATCGTAACGCAAGCGATGACGTGAGTGTCCAATTTTATCCGGGGGATTGTTGTCTGGATATGAAGGAGTTACAAAGGGAATTCTAGAGGAAATTGGGAGTCCACCATTGGCTTCAGTATTCCTGGCCTGAGGTTCCCATTTCCACCTAATTGTACGTAGCCTGTGAAACTATTTTGGCTTCATACTTTATAAGTCCTGTAGCTTAGTGGTTAGAGCACTCACTGGGTTCGGTTTCTGGGCGGGCAGGGCAACACGTTGGGCAAATCTCCTTCCTTCCTGGCATATCAGATCGAGCTAACCAGTCGAGAGAAGGAGACGAGTGAGCATGTTCTCGAGGGAGGGGGTAAGAGAATCGAAGCAGCAAGACGTTTCAGGCATTTGAGGAGAACGGGGTGAAGTGAGGGCAGTTCCTGTGGGCTGCGGTGTATTGCAGTCATCAATCCGTACAATGAGGTCAGGACTGGCACTAACCACAGGATGCTTCTGTAGACGTCTCTCATGTGCTACTTTCTCGAGAGGGCCTCTGGAAGACGACTCGAGCTACGTCAAGCGGCTTCCCGCAGTCACAGTGCGGCGCCATAGCCTCAAAGACTTCTCCGACTTCGGGTGGACAAGATCTACCCCGTCTGACGCAGTGCCGGCTGCCATTTGCTAGCGTGTTTCTGCACAAATGCTGCTAATCTGCCCCTCTGGAACTCCATCCCACAATCCCCCCGCCTCGCACCCTCCCTCGCCTCCTTCAAGACCCTTGGCTTCGACCGTGCCTTCGATTACCTGCCCTCCTCCACCCCTTCCTGATCCCAACACCCACCATCCCAACACAGCTCGGGTGCAGATCTCTCACTGTCCAGCACATTGGGACATCCTGTCGTGAAAGGCACTGGTCTTTGTTGTTCCATACGCCCGGTCTTTCCCCTGGAAACAGAGAAATGTTATCCGCAACAACAGAAAAAGGGTCCGATTGCGCCTGTGTCGCTGCCGTTAGCTTTTCGAACTCACTTTTCTTCAATATTCATCTCCCACTTCCAGTTCTCTCATATTCCTTAATGCTTTTACTATTGTTTGACAGTCCAGTGCCTTGGGATGTCTTGCCGACCTGAAAGGCACTATATAAATGTAAATTTGTATTGTACTTTACTCAAGATACTAATCCAGTTCTCTTTCTGAATGCGCCTATTATAATTAAGCCTCAAATGCCAATTATTGTAATGAATTCGAACACTTAATGAACCCCCTGAGTGAAGAAATTACTTCTAACTTCTCACTTAATTTCTCTGCTAATAAACCCTGCTACAATAACAGGCTTTAAACCGAGGTCCCGGATTCCTGTTCGGGTGGATGTTAAAGATCCCAGGGCACCGTTCAGAAACTGTAGGGACTTTCTCCTTGTGTCCCGGCCAGCAATCCCCTGGATAAAATTGGTCACTCACTCCATGGCTGTATGCGGGGCATCGCTGTGCAAAACTGGCTGCCGCGCTTCGCCCGCGACATACAGTCAAGCCCGCGTGTCCCGTGAAGCGCTTTGAGATGTCTCAATGGCACGATAAGGCGCTATATCAAATGCAGGTATTATTATTAATACCCAGTCAAGTTAATCACCAAAACCACGAGGAATAAAGGTAGTATTTTATTTTCACGGAGGATTGTTAGGACATGAAATGCCCAACCCTGAATTGTGGTTGAGGGCATGTTTCCCAAGCCCGGTTAAGATCCATCTTGACTTTTAAGGGGGAATAGATAATATGGGGGGGATTATAAAAGTGCGTGGGTGGGGAGAGAAGGAGAATTGGACTAAATGCATAGCTGTTTCAGTGAACCATCCCAGCGTGATAGGCCGAATGGCCTCCTCCTGTGTTGTAAATTCCTATGGTTTGCTCAGCTAGTCAACAGAAACAATTTACATTTTCCGGAGAAGATATTTCATCCTCCTGGGGAAATCCCATTCTACCTGAAGGAAAACCCAAGTAGGAAACAGAGCGTAAGAAAGGACAAACATCACTATTACAGGGCAACTCGGAGAACTTATTGCGAAATGAAGTCAAGACATAAGGAAGCTAATGAGAAATGAAAACAAGAAGGGATAGGAGGGAAAAAAAATGTGGCACGGCGGATTGTGCGATTAATTCATTTGGAGTCCTGTAGCTCAGTGGTTAGAGCACTCGCCTCGGAAGTGAGAGGACCTGGTTTCGATTCCCGGGTTGGGCCAGTTTCCTTACTCCACGCACACGCCTCTGGTTACCTAGCAGAAAGTAGGAACCCGGTTGTTAGCCGACTGGTGGATCGCTTTTCCGGGCGTAATAATCCCTTCAAAAAAAAATAATAATTTGGTCGCTCAATCCATGACTGTGAAACAATTGGCTGCCACGTTTCACCCACAAAATACACAGTCACTACACTTTACAGTATATCCTGCGAAGCGCTTTGAGACGCCTCAAAGACATAATAAGGCGCTGTATCAAATGCAAGTTATTATTATTATTATTAATTAATTATTATTATTATGATGAGCTTCATTTCACTACTTGGTTTCACCCAAGTGAGTCTTCCCAGTTGACAAAAAGAAGCTTTTTTCCACAATAAAACGCGGCTGAAAGGACTTCTTGTTGCTCAGGACCCATCTTGAAGGCTGGAGTGTGGAACTCACTTGCCATAGAGGTCAGTCATATGAAATATTACTAGAAGGTAGGAAACAGGTGAATATTCCTTTATTTATAATCTCTCAAATGATTCTTTTCCCAGAGCAGAGAGTACTCTAAGAGCAAAGCCTAACCCAGAGCTTGATTCTCAGAACAAGCCCCAGTCATCGCTTTAAATGAGAATGCAGAGATTTGGCTTTTCTTCTTCTATTATTGTGAGTGAATCAGAGATTCCTGCTTCTGTTCAATTAGATTCACGCTCCAGCGCATTTAGATTAGCAGCTTCTTTACATTTAGATAAAAGGCTGCACCTCGTTCTATCGGGGAAAGGGGAGTGGGGGATGGGGGGAGTAATGAAGCGAGGCAAATCAGAGATATTAAATTTCAGGCACAATGCCTCACAAAAAAAAAGAGCATTTAATGATTCATCTGAAGAACAAGGCTTGCTGTGTGATTATTTGCATACCCTCATCCTGTGGAGTCCTGTAGCTCAGTCCTAAGAGAACTCGCCTCGCAAGCGAGAGACCTGGGTTTGATTCCCGGCGGGGCGAAACGTTGGGCAAGTTTACTTACTTACTCCACATGCCTCTGTTTACCTAGCAGTCAACATGAACCCGGTTGTTAGTCGATGGCCTCAGCCTCTCGCCCCACTCTGGAACTCCACCCCACGTGCCTTCGCTCTGCTTCCTCCCTCCTCCTTCAAGGCGTCTCAAGACCCTCCTCTTTGACTGTGCCTTCGCTCCCCTCCACTCTCTCCCTCTCCTCCCTCCCTCCCTCCCCTCCCCTGCCTTCCCCCAGCTCGGGCCCGACCCAACTGCACCCTTGGGACGTCCTCCCGATGAAAGGCGCTCTATAAATGTGTTTGTTGTTGTTGTTGTTGATTGGCGGATCGCTTTTCCTGGGATAATAATTCCTTCCAAAAAAAATGGGTCACTCACTCTACGGCTGTTTGTGCAACTCTGCAGTGCGTAAATTGGCGGCCGCCTTTTGTGCACAAAAACATAAAGTCAGTTCACTTTACGGTATATTCTGCGAAGTGCTTTGAGACGTCTCGAAGACGTGATAAGGCGCGATATCAAACGCGAGGATTATTATTATTATTATTTACAAAAATTGGTACGTGCAGACGAGCTGCGGGGTTCATGATCAAATGTGATTTCAAAATGTAATATCTGGTTAAGACTCCAGCAGTTAACCCCGACGGACACTCTGGGCTCCCCCCCAAGCCTTGGCTCTTGCCAACCTGTGCCTAATACTCTCTGGAATTAGGTAAACAGGACGCGTCCCTCCAGGGAGAGAGAGAGAGAGAGAGAGAGAGAGAGAGAGACGCATTCCATTCCGACAATTTATCTCTGGGATTTTCATGGGTAGTTGGAATGCAGGGAATTCTCAGCACCTGGTTGGCTTTTTTGCTGCCAAACAGGTAACGTGACAGGAGTGGGACCGAATTCTACCCGAGAGTGAAGCATCTCTCGGACAACAACAACAACAAGATTACATTTGTACACGTCGGGAAGACTTTCCCAAGGCGCTGGAACGTCTGAGAACATTTCTAACATCTCTAACCACTATGCTGCAAGACTGACAATGTCTGAGAACACAGAGCAAATAAGATAAGGGCTCTTATTAGCAGAGGACTGTGGATTATGTTCGGCCTCATTCAGTGTGGCACAGAAGTGCAACTTAAAGAGGGGAGAGATGAAAAGCTGCACTTTTATAATGTCTTCTTGACCAAAAACATCTCAAAGCAATTTACTGTCAGGCCTCGTCTCTCTCTCTACCTCATGTATTTTTAATTTGATCTGTTAAGCTGCTTGCATTCCGGCAATTGTCCAATATTGCCTCTGTAATATTTATGCAAACACGATTTGAGAATTTTAACAAGCCGCTGAACATACACCAGCTCACTTTAAGCATTCGTATCCATATGTAAAATTAATTCTTATTATTAATGTATGTAGAATGACATACGGAAGCATAGTAACAGTGAGCAATCAGGCACCAATACAGAAGCCCTCATAGGTAAAGTAGTTGTTTTCAATAATAACAATAATAATGCTTGCATATTATTATTTTTTAATTTATTTTTGAAGGGATTATTACCCCCAGAAAAGTGATCCACCAATCGACTAACAACCGGGTTCCTACTTACTGCTAGGTAAACATGTGTGTTATGGCGTGTGTGTGTGTGTGTGTGTGTGTGTGTGTGTGTGGAGTAAGAAAACCTGCCCAACAGGTCGCCCTGCCTGCGAACCAAACTCAGGTCCTCTCGCTTGCGAGGGGCGAGTGCTCTAACCACTACGCTACAAGACTCCAGTATCGCAATGGATGCATCCAGCAATTACACCGTAAGGGAAGCTCATACGCAATAGTACGTTCATGCACAAGGCATTTCTGAGAAAGTGGGTGCAACGCACGATATAATAATCAAAAGCTGAGAGCTAATTTGGGAGTATGAAGCACCAGAAATTCTCAAAATACTTTCAGTCACTTGAAACCTTGCCCAGCCGTCACCACCACTTTAGGCCAAGATTAATGAAGGGACAAAGAACTCATTGTGATTTTTAAAAAAATGTTAAATCACCTTTCAAGAACATTAAAGCTTCAGTGATCATACACATCTGGTTAATCTTCAACAATTAATAGCAAGTCAGCATAGGGAGCCCTTTATCAAACATTTTAGTTAGGAAATTAGAGAGAAAAACACCAGAAGGGAACCCAATACAGAACAATCAATCACCCGCCACACGTGCGGTTGAGACACATGGAAGAAAAACCCAAACAATGCTGAGAATGAAAATGTGACGGTCAACGTGATGGCCATCACCAGCAATGGAAACATAGAACCAGGAGGAGGCCATTCAGCCCCTTGAGCTTGTTCCGCCATTCTATAAGATCACGGCTGATCAGTACCTCAACTCCAATTACCGGCCCTACAGAGAGCAGTCAGGCACCAACACAAATAATACAAAAGCCCATATAAGAACTGTAGTTGTTTTCAATAATAATAACCCTTCCATTTGATATAGCACCTTATCAGGTCTAGAGCATGTTATTAAAGCATATTAGAGTGATATTATTTCACATGTGGAATTTCCACTGCTGTCGATGTCCCTGTCCACAGCCTCGTGAAAATGGATGATCTCAAAGCCACTCATTTGAACATCTACCTGAACAAGCTTCATCGACTTAACTGAACTTTTAAAGGAAAAGGGGTTTGAGACACCAAGAGAAATACAGCGGGATTTACTGTTACAAGGATTAGGAATGAAGAGACAGCTGCACTGAATGAGCTAAAACCAGCTCCGGCTCAATAAGTCAAAGGGCCTCCTTCAATTCTGTAATTCCTATGATTCGATCGACCCAGTTTCCTAAGCAGGGTGCGTCCCTCCAAGGAGAGAACGCTCATTCATTCCAGAATTCCTATTTTCTGCAAGATGAACGGAGGCGTGTGCGTGTGGAGTAAGGAAACTTGCCCAACGTTTCGCCCTGCCCAGGAATCAAACCCGGGTCCTCTCGCTTGCGAGGCGAGTGGTCTAACCACTACACTACAGGACTCCATGATTGCTACTCATATAGCATTTATATGGCGTCTTTCGAGTAAAATAATTGTCCGTAAGTGTTTTACAAATTAAAATTGATGAATAACTTGTGATCTCAACAACTACAATGGATTGAAATTGGGAGGACAGAACCATGGACAGGGCAGGAGTAATGAAAATCTTTTTATAAAACCTAACAGCACCTCCAGCAGACTGTCAGTAGTACTTCAACTAAATGATAATATAATAGCAATCCTTGCATCCTTGAGTCGTCTCAAAGCACTTCACAGGATACTCTGTAAAGTGGAGTGATTGTATATTTTGTGGGTGAAACACAGCAGAAAATTGGGCACAGCGACATGCCAGACGTGGATTGAGCGACTACATTTTTTAAAAAGGGATTATTACTCCCGGAAAGAGATCTGCCAATCAACTAACAACTGGGTTCCCTGATTACTGCTCGGTAAACAGAGGCGTGCGGAGTAAGGAAACTTGCTTAAGGTTTCGCCCCGCCTGGGAATCAAACCCCGATCCTCTCGCTTGCGAGGCGAGTGCTCTAACCAATACACTACGGGACTCGACAATGTAAAACGCATTTTTCTCACATTGTGATCAGGATTTACATTTGCGGATGTTTGAAATCCTACGCCCTACGAGCCGTTCTAAGACGTTTAAAAGACTGCAACGACAATGTAAAAGTGTACAAGGAAGAGCGGGGAATTAGGATTAGAGAATTTAGCTGCAGTGGACGAGCCAGCTCTACTTAGGCTCAATGGGCAAACAGTCTCCTCTGCACCGTTATCTGTTCTGCTATAAACCTTTGTGACAATTTTTGAAACTCCATCCCACAGTCCCTTCACCTCACTCCCTCCCTTTCCTCCTTCAAGGCCCTCCTCTTTGCTCGTGCTTTCAGTCACTCTCCCACCCTCCCTGCCCTCCAAACCTCCTGACCCACCTACAAGCTCGGATCCAAATACCTGACAGTCCAGCACCTTTGGACGTCCTCCTGACGAGAAAGGCGCTGTATAAATGTCATGTGTTTCTGTTGCTGTTATTTAATACTGTGCAGAAATACCACAAATTCACTTTGGATAGTAAATCACAATAAGTCACTGTTGAAGGTCAGAGTGTTTTGTGAATGGCAATGCAGGTTGTATCTCCGGTCTGATCTGAGGTAAGTAATCTCAACCAGGTTAACAGTACTGGTGGGGCAATTAGGCTCAGGACTAATGAGGTTAACGTTATTTGCAAAATACAGCCCCCGATAGTTCACAAGCAAATAGACAAAATCTCTTCTCCCCGCTCTGACCTATAATCTTCCTGATAAATAATTAATTATGCCATTATCTGGTGCACAATCTAATTAACAAACACATGAAAAATTCATTTGTACCAGCGCATGGCAAGAGAGAAAAGACGAGATTGAATAGAGATTTGTTTTAGCCATCCTGTATTTTGCTCTAAAAAAAAGTATTCAGTGGAACATTTCTTAGTGTTAAGTCAAGATTCCCAGCACCTGTCAATCCACAAATACAGAAACGGGCCACAATATTGCTCACAAAATCAACATTATATATATATACACACACACATTCACAATGTACATATCATTCTCCAAACATCACAGCCTTTATGAAACACTCTTGCCACATTTCTATTTGTTATCTGGTCGACATTTAAAAAAACATTCCAGAGAGTTGTTACGGTCTGGAACGCACTGCCTGGAAACAGATTCAATAACGACTTTCAAAGGGAATTAGATAAGTACTTGAAAAGGAAAAACTTACGGGGATAGGTGGAAAGAAAGAGCGGGGGAGTGGGACTGATTGGGTAGCTCTTCCAAAGAGCCGCGTACAGGCACGATGGCTTGAATGGCCTCCTTCGGTGCTGTAAGATTCTATGGATTCTATGAGGGTAATGTGAAGGACTGTGTATCTCAGTGGTACATAGAGTGGTTTGTTGAATGAGGGAAAGTTACTACAGATGTAGTTTTGCCACCGTACTGACCTGCGTTGACAATGGCATCAATTTCCAGTTTGGTGATGTCCCCCTGAAAGAGCGAGACCTTCCCATTCAGAATATCGTCCTTCTTGTACTTGGACTCTGGGTTTTTAAGCTTTTCCACTGGGAAACAAAATGGGAGCAAGTTAAAGAGAGGGGGAGACAACCACATAAATTGTGACTGGGCTTTCAACCACTTTTTCAGCAATGATTATGGCTATAAATGTCATGTTCACAGATTACCAACCTCCTATATCTGGCACTGAAGCTTGGCAGTGTGTCCTGGCAGACCATCTAATTATTGGATTGGGATATCATATTTTCAAGGATCGTCAACAATCAAAATCCCAACCGTCTTAATTAGAAATTTGGACTCAAAATCGTTGTGCCTGTTAATTGAGACAGATTTCACCAATTATAATAATAATAATCCTTGTATTTGATATAGGGCCTTATTGCGACGTCTAAAAGCGCTTCACGGAATCTCCCACAGAGATTAATTTGGATAGCTCTTTTAAAGAGCCGGCATGGACACAATGGGCTGAAGTGTCCTCCTCCTGTGCTGTCTAATTCTATGATTCTAATATGCTGTAAAGTGTAGTGACTGTATATTTTGCGTAGAAAAGCAGCAGTCAATTATTGTTATCAATTATTATCACCTCGTAAAATAGCAAATCAGATTTGAAAGATGCAGCAAATGGAATATGAAATGCCCTAAGCAATTTTGTCGATGGTATATTAATTTATAAGTGAAATGCTTCCTGCTGTGCAAACATTGATTATTAGAAAGCGATACAAATAATTCTACAAGTTTAAGAGGAAACTGCTCTTCTTCTCTGTTTCGTTAAGTGCAGTTTAATACAATTACAAATCACTTTGCAGGCATTTATGTGAAACCCTCTCTGCCAAGAACAAAAATCCACATCATAATGAATTTGTAAGTTTTAAAAGGCGGTTGTCCAATCTGAATTTAATCATTGGTAATTTAACAAAATTACTAATTGCTTCCCTAATAGTTAAACGAACCATGTTACTTTCTAGTATTGTTTATCCTACATGTTGAATGCTCTTTCTCTCCGCTTTCCTCCCACGCTTGTGAACTGAGGTGTCAAAAGGAGAGCGAAGTAGAGGCACTCTCAACACAGAAGCGAATCTTGCAGAATGCAGATTTGATAGTAACAATAGTCCTTGTGTTTGACATAGCGCCTTATCACGTCTCCGAGACCTCTCAAAGCGCATCACAGAATACACTGTAAAGTGGAGTGACTGTATCTTTTGTGGACAAAACGCAGCAGCTAATTGCACACAGTAGTGTACCACAAAATGTCGTGGATTGAGTGACCAAACTATTGTTATTATTATTTTTTTGAAGGCATTATTACCCCCGGAAAAGTGATCCGCTAATCGACTAGCAAGCGGGTCCCTACTTACTGTTAGGTAAAAGACGCATGTATGTGGAGTAAGAAAACTTGCCTAAACTTTAAATCTGCCTAAGGTTCCAGCAGAGGGCTTGAACCCAGAGCCTTCCAGAAACGAGAGTGAGCCAAGCTGTCACAAAACTGTAATGATTAGATGCCATTAGACCCGGGCTATAAAATTAACACGTGTAAATCTATTTTCAATATAAATGGAAATGTACTCTTCCAGGCACAAGGCAATGCACATTAAAACCAGAGCAATATAAACGCTCAGTACATATTCATTACCTCGTTATTACACACAGCGTCCTCTTCTCACTAACTCATTTTTGAAATATTGCACCGCAAATGTCAGAACCACGAAGGAGGCGAAATAAAATCACTGAAAATATTATCAGGAAGCAGCATCTCATAGCTGGTTTTGGATTGACATTGATTTATAATAAATAATTGTAATCCTTGCGTTTGATACAGCTCCTTATTACGTCGTAGAGACATCTCAAAGCACCTCACAGAATATACTGTATCGTGCAGTGTGTAATTTGTGGGCGAAACACGCCAGCCAATTGCACACAGCAGTGTCCCACAAACAGTCGTGGATTGAGTGACCAAATCATTATTAATTTTATTTTATTTATTTTTTGGAGGGATCATTACTTTATATGATTTTTTATATTAATTAGTACTTAATATTATTTTTTTGTGGGCGAAATACAGCAGTCAATTGTGCATAGCAGTATACCACAAACAGTTATGGATCGAGTGATCAAACTTTATCCCTCTTGGAGGGATTCTTACTTGATTTTTTAAAATATTATTAACAATAGTTATACTTTACACTATTTTAAAATAATTAATGATTCCTTTGTACTACATTTTATATCGTTAATTATTGCTCTATATATTATGTTATGTTATTAATTATTACTTGATATTGTTTTGCTATATTAATACAAAAACGAGAAAAGCCAACATAGCAACGATCATTGTGGTCGCGTTGCTAAGGAAGCAGCAACCAAAAAGGGATTGGTGAAACCAAATGCTAATCAAACAAAACACAGAGCCTTTTCCTGTCATGTGAAAAGCACTTACAGAAAAAGGAAGCGACTGCTGGGGAGTCTGTGTGTGCAACATCAGGTAATTAAACACAAGCTGTGTATACTTATGGGATTTGTTTTTTGTTTAAAGGCGTATAAGAACTTGTAAGTTTGGGACCCGTTTTTATCGGATGGTTTTATTTTCAGGCTAGGAAAATAGTCTGGCAGCAAGATAAACATTGATGGAAGACTTGGAGCCTGCCTCTGCCTTTGACAAGGATCCATTCGAGCTAACGGCAGAAGATGTCTACGATATATCTTATGTCATTGGCCGCGAGTTAATGAAAGTCAGCAGCCCCGTGGGCTGCCCTGGAGTCTCCGAGCTGCAGTATAAGATCATCCGCGTTTTGGAAATGTTCGAGTCCCTGGTGAACAAGCACAATTTGACGGTGGAGGAGTTGAAAATGGAGCAAGCAAACCTGAAGGCTGAGACGGAGAGGCTTCACAGAGAACTGCAGAAGGCAAGCAGCGAGACACGGCAACCAGAGGATAAAGCTTCGGTGGATCTCGCAGACCCAAATCGCCCACGGTTCACGTTAGGGGAGCTCAGGGAGGTGTTGCAAGAACGCAATGAGCTGAAGGCCAAATTACTTGTTGTTCAAGAAGAGCTGCAGTATTACAAGAATAGCTTAGTCTCTTCCAAGGAAGCCAGTGTCATCGAGAGGGAAAATGCATCGACTGCAAGTCGGGGCAGTGAGCAAACTATGATTAAGAAACTCTTTAATTTCAAACGGCGAAACAATCCATAAAACGCGCAGATAAGACTCTTACAAAGCTGCAAAACCTTTCCCGGGACATTAATTAATATGCTCGACGGACCTTAACAAGGCTTTTACTCCTTCTTACTTTTATACAAGAAATGATTTCTGACCAAAAATAACTTTTTTTTTGAAAATTCTACTTCTCAGAAACAGAAATAAAAGAACTAATCCAAACTTCTTCGCACTTTTCATTAACCGGAAGGTTTCCTCGTGACAATACCAGAAGA